AATGACTTTACTATTTTATTGCTTGATAAAGCAGAATGATTCAAATAGGTTGTTTGGGTTTCAATCCCATTCCAAAATGAAAAATACTGCCTTTAGCAAAACTGATCTCTGTTTCTTTTTTTATACAGAGGGTTGTGATTTATTTAAAATACCAATTGATTTGTTCTGTCAGTAGTTGAAGAATAGTTGACTAATAATTTTTTCTATTTCATAAAGATACCTTAAATGACAGTTCCACTTAACACCCTATAAAGAAATATATTAAATGTATTTTTAAAACAAACAAAACAGAAATTAAGATGGAAGAAAGCTGCATTTTTGTTCTTCAAAACAGACTGCCTGGAGAGAAGAGTTACAGTGTGGGTTTGTCTCACTTAGAATGACAAACCTGGTCTGCTCTGCTGGGGACCTTTGATGAGATCTTGTAAATAAACGTGGAATGACAAGAGGTCTTACTGAGCTTGTATGACTCTTTCTTCTTTATTACAAGTGTTTTTGGTTGTTGAAACTTCCAGCTAACGTTAGGTCTCCAGTGCTGTTACCCACAATTAAAGCTATCGTGTAATTAGGATCATTTAAAAATAACTTCTTCATGCCTGACCTGTTCTGTCTGTGACAGGGTTCAGAAACTGCTGATTACTTTGTGGTTGGGTTTGGGTTTATGATTTGGCTATTATGCGGGCAATATTAATGTAGGTGGAAAACATTTAGAGGGACTCATCTATTCTAGGTAAACTGTACTGGATTTTTGTTACTGCATTAGAACAGGCTGTGTTACAAAGAACCTACAAGTTGGTCAGTCATTTGTTCATTGACAATTGCTAGAAAGAGGTGGGCTTTGGGCTTTTTTGTTTTTAAAGGAATAATTAATCTTCAATGTGAAGAGCAGGTAATACTTATTTTCCAGGCAATTGTGATAAAGAGGAGAGCAAACATTAAATTTAAAATGTCACTGACTTGAGAGGTGTGTGCAATTCCTGTTAGGAGCCAGTCTTGCCGATCACACTTTGCAGCTGGATGCTGGCATAACTGTTTTTTTCATGGAGATCTGAGATGTATGAAGATCTCTGAAGAGTCAGTGCTTCAAACAGGTTTTAAAATGCATAAAAGTTGATACCCAAGTGCATGGTAAGAGTGTTGAGTAGTCTTTAACTTCATTTTATGGTATTATCCTGAGTATATGAGATGAAATGTATACTGCGCAAATTCAAATATTAACTTTAAGATGTGATCAAAGCTGCAAGACTTTATTATTATTGTTATTATTGCTTTAGATTAGCCTACCACAAACATCTATTTAATTTACAGCATTATTGATTGCTTAACAGAACATTTTATTTACCTTATTTCTTTAGTAACCATTAGATTTGTGGTGAAATTTTCCTGCATATTTTACTGCCTTTTTGATTATATAAGCAATGATTAATAAATAAATGTTTAAGTACACCAGAGTTAATGCAGTGTTAGCATGTGAATTATAATGAATTGTTTGAAAAATTTAATACATAGCTCTAGTGTGTTCTGGGCGTCGGTTTGAAACTGGATGCTGCAAGACCTGTTGTAGTCACTTCCTCAATCTCAGCAGATAGGAAGCATTATTTGCATTTTCAACTCAGTATTGGAGCATGAGTCTGGAATTAAAGTTCCTGCAAATCTAATGTGCCTGTCTGTGCCTTCTCAGAGCTCACCCTGAAGAATGGGGGGGGAAAAACACCAACTCAACACCATAGTACTTACTCAAGGGAAATTGGACCTCAGACCCTTCTTTGAAAGTCCATGCACAATTGTGCCTGTGTCTTAAGACCACCCTTTATCTGCAGTTATTTTGGAGCTTACATTAAGAGAAGACAAATGGGCATCATATAAAACCCAGTACTGACAGTGGGTCAACAGCAGCTGCTTAGACAAGAATATATGAGAAGTGCTGCTGGAGTATCACTGTATGTTTGCTGACAATTCTGTCTTTTGCTGGTTTCACAGTCTAGGAGCTCCTGAGTTAGAAATTGCGTCTTTGAATATGGAGTTGTCTTTTTATACTCTTCCTGAAGGTCTCCTGCTCTCAGAACAAGATGTTCTGTATTTACCCTTCCTCTATCAGTTGTGATCTTGAGTAGGTCTGTCCTCTCCTGATATCATCTGCCTTTTTCTTACCTTTATGTAGGTGTTCCTCGTGCAGAAGCTGTGCTGGATCTGTCCCACATTGACATTTTCTGTATCTCTAGAGCTGCTGTATAGGTAAATGAAAACAAACGAGAAGCGCACACAGAATTGACTTGATATAGGATGTGTGACAGAATGACTCTGTGATAAATTTTTCACTTTTGTTCTGTATGTCTCTCCTAATAGTCTGTATCATTCAGTTTTGTTTTCTTGTCAACTCAGTGCCAAGAAGCTGTTACTGTCATAAGCAGCTCTGTTACAACCCAGCTCCAGGTTTGTTGCTATATGTCTAAATTTAGGATCCCTTATCTATGGACTCTTTTGACTCTTGTCTGATTTTTAGAAAGAGGTGAAAATCTCTTCTTTGTTCAGAAGGAAATAAGAAGTATTGCTATGAGAACAGGGACTGAGTTTTAAGGAGGTATCACTACTTTGCTGTAAGAAAGGACTGGCTAGTTAGGTTAAGAACATCTGGTCATTGCATATTTCTTCTTCCCCATCTGTCTTATTTCTTAAGTTTTAAAGAAAAGTGGCATTTGGAAATAGAGTAATTGCTAAAGAATAGACCATATGAAGTAATGGAATAAAAGAACAACAGTATTAAACATGGGATTTTGTATTTGTGATATTTTTCCCTTGGTAAGTGCTCATTTGTTACTTTTTTTTTTTTCTGTTCTAATTAGCCATGATTCTTCAAACAGAACTTTTGCAACTGTATGTTATTCAAGCATTTCACAGTTGTCTGGAGTATGCAGTAAGATTCAGAGTGCTGTGGCACAAGAAGTAGGAAACTTTATCTAAATTGCACCAGAATTAATTGGCTATTGAGAATACATTTTGACCTTGGCCAGTGCTTTCTGGCTTGGTGCTGTTCTGCACATAGGTTCTGCACTTTGTCAACACAAGAAATAAAGATTTGTAAGAGTTGTGCTTGGTGTGGCCCCTTTTCTTGCTCTCTTCGTCAGCAGAGTATGTGCTCTCCTCCTGTGTGATTGTTTCTACAATCCTGAAGGCTCTGGAAAAGTGACACAGGTTTTAGCTGAAACCTGTCTTGGGCCTGCCTATGATTTGGCTGTTTTGTCTGATGGTCAGCTGGTGACCATGCTAGTGCCTTTCCTATAAAGCATATATTTCTGAGCTTGGATCACTTGGGAAATAATGAGGGATACCACTCAATTATAATACTACTTTTATTTTTTTGTCCAGTCTAGTAACTTTCTCATATATGCTTGTTGAATAGCAATCAGAATACGTGATTTCTTGCATAGCTTCTGTATTTTGTTAAAACTAAAATCGTGACCACTCCCTTCCATCTCAGCTGCCATCTCACACAAGGGATATATAAACACCTAATTTTAAACATGACTCATTTTGATGATTGTACAAGTGTGCTAGATTGTTATTTTGAAGAGAAAATTGCTGTGACATTTGTAAACCAAACTTAAATAGGGAGTAGCCTGGATGGTTGGTTTAAATCTTCTAAGTATGCAACAATCTATACTTGTCCATCATACCCAGTCTAGTGGTAAGGGGAGGACAGGTGAGGTGAGGGATCATTACTGAAAAATGAAGAAATCTGTTATTTACTGCTAATTAAAACAAAGTACATCAAAGAAATTGCTTTAAGTGGGTTTGAAACAGAAATCTCTTATGATAGGAGAAGGATGGGTTATACTGTAAACTACTTTCAGGCTTCAGCAGATATTAATAGCTAGCTTCTGCTTGATACACTTTTAAAATGCTTCTTTGTAATATGAGGGTACTATAAAAACTGGCTCTGGAGCCATGTGGTGAAAAGTGTGTTGGTTGTCTGAGTCAAAGGTTGAAGTATATCTCTGCTCTTGAAAACTTGGTTTTAGTTGTATCAGCTTATAAGTGCAAAATCAGTAGATAATTTTCATTCTACAGCTTTATACTAGACGTGTGCACACATTTGTGGTTAAAAAAACATAAGGGATTAGTGCAGATGATACTATTGAGCATATATTTTTCTTTCTTAAGGCAGAAATCCGCTTTAGTAAGGTATACCAAGAGTTTTTACGTATAGAAACTACAGTAGGAATTGTGGCTAGGCACAGCTAGCATTTATCTTGGCTTTGTTCAGCAGTACATTATGTAAAGCAAGGTAGGAGAAGAGAAGTGGATGCTTAGCAGCAAAAGAGGGAAAATAATCTTTTTAATTACTTTGAAGTGCCAAAACTTTAACTGCAAGATTTCTTTTCAGCAAGATGTGGAGCATGGAAATAAATCTGTCCCTAGGGATCAGCAGATGAGTTTATCTGTGATTCCCTGACTAGTTGATTTGATTCTTCAGTACTGTCCCCTAGAAGCTAATTCATTGGAACTGGGTAGATCAGACAGACATCAGTGAAGGCTTGAATTCCTTTTCCAATGAATCCAAAGAAATCTGTATTCTGGACTAAGCTTTCTTTTTTGGCATTTTTGCACGTAGTGTCATCCATGGTATTTTCCATGAGCATGAGTGCTACTAGGAAACCTTTCAGTCTTTCGTTTTTGAAATGTTTGTCATGTTAATACTCATGCAGAGAGACCTGAAAGGAAAACTTCCCAGGGATGTGAATTTCACAGAACAAACTGAACAGAATCAGTATACTGAGAATATTGTTAGTTTCTCAAGTACCCAGTAGCTCTTTCCTCCTTCAAAACCTGGACTTTTGTCTGTGACTGGAGAAAGGGGACCTTGTTTTTGTTATATGCAGGTAAAGTAATCTCTTGGTGTGTTATGTAACTTCTTTTAACTGGAAGATGGGGATTTTGCCATGGCTATAATGAGACACTTTGTATCTAATGTGCAATTTCTTTGTTATTGTTTTGTTTAGTGGGAGACTTTGATAAGATCTGGCGTGAGCACTGTGAGGATGAGGAAACTCTGTGTGAATATGCTGTGGCAATGAAAAACCTTGCAGATAATCACTGGGCAAAAACTTGTGAAGGAGAAGGCCGAATTGAATGGTGTTGCAGGTAAATCTTAATGTATTTGAAAGATGCAATTGCACACTTCTGCTTTATTTATAATACAGTTGTTGAGCAGTTCTTGCTTTTTTGCTTTTAAGATTTGTTCTATAAGATGTTAATAATTCACTGCTTCCCAAAACAAATACCTTCTTACTGTTCTGATCTCCTAAGGAAATAGCTTGTGAAGTGTTTTGTTATGAGGTGACCCCTTTTTTAAAGTATCTTCAGCAACCAAATTTTTCCTCTCCTCAAATACTGAAGCTGTAACAAGTAAAACTATGAAGTAATTTTCCATACATTTGAACCTAAACTGAGCAAATGCAGTAAGGGTAGCGCAAGTTTAATTTTCAAGTCTTTGGTTTGATTTATCCTTATAATAGTGTTTGAACTCTACATGTGAATCTCTGGTGCTTAATTTTCAAGTTTTAATCTCCTGCAACAGACTTTAACCTCTGTGAAACTTAGTTTAAATCAATTTTAAAATTCTTGTAAGTCATAAGCATCTAATTTGTATTGGGTTATGATAACTGTAAAGACTGTAAGGGGGTTCGGCTGAGCTATTTCAATCCTTGAGGAAAACAAACTCCTGAAAGTGGAGAAATGTTGGTCACTCAGGATTCCTGCCTACAGCTGGCATCCAAGGTATACCATGGAATCAGCACAACTAAATAAAACAAATTATTGTTGATCTCTAACTGGGAAGAGAATTTATCAACAGTCCTGCCTCTGAGAATGACTTTAGACAAACTACAAGTAGTCTCGTATGCCAGTCTGTAGGTCCTGCAGGTGAGTGTTGCAGTGCTGAGCAAGAGGCAGCAAACGGCAGATGTGGTATTGTTAAATTAATTACATTGGTCCTTTAAGCCCCTAAAACAGAAAAAGAAAACCAAAACAAAACAGAAGGGGAGAATGGCTCTGAAACAGTTGATCTAGAGTACATCTTGGTGTCAACTTGAGCTGTTGTGTGGTTTCTGGAAATGGAGCAAGTAATAACAAGCTCATTTCCTTTTTCCATGCCATCAGCTTGTAAATATCTGAAAACCATCCCTTTATGTATCAATCGTTTATCTTTTAGCTTAACCAAAAAACCCAAAGAGACAACCCACGACCACCAATAAAACCCCATAGTTCAGTGTTTCTTTATAGACCCTTTTCTGGACATGTATTTTGTATCCTTATCCAAGTTATAAGAGAGGTGAATCATTTTGTAAAGAGCTACACCCAAAAAAAAAAAAAAGCACAGCTTTCCAATGGTCTTGTCAGTGATAAATAAAGAATTATGATTGAGGTAAACTCTTGTTTATGTTGTTGTTGTTTAAGTTTTCTGTGTTTTGGGGGTTTTTATTATGTTTTTGTGTTTGTACTTTTAATTGGTGTGGCACTGATTTGTGCTCATTTGTGATTCCCCAGAAACTCTTTCTTTTTTACAGCCTTCCTCAGTTATTGTTTTCTTGCACTTGTGCTATTTATTACTTCTGTGGAAATGCTGATATTTGTGTTCTCATTACTGAATTACACTCTTGAATCATACTGAATTCTAATACTGAGATTTCTTGCAGCAGCACAGTCTGTATCCCAGCTTGGCATTGTTCTCATATTGGTTAAGAGAACTACTGACTGTTCCAGTGTTCAGGTTACCCGTGAAAAAAACTGATTGTACTGGATCCAGGGCAGATTCCTATGAAACATTGCTCAGTATTTTCTTGTAGTCTGATTGTCAACTAATATGTGAAACTTTTTTCAGTAGAAGTGTGTGCACTTGCTCTCATTTCAGCCAAACAATATTCCCTTAGCTTGTAGCAAGCTTGTCTGGTACCTGGTAGGACAGGATCATGTTCCTTGTGGACAGGGGGGGGAAACAGTTGATGGCCTGTGTATTGTAGGGTTTTGGCTCTGTCTCACTTGATTTCTGTTCGTAGTTCCTACAAGATTTACAAAGTAAACATTTAAATAAGTGTTTGGGTCTTGCAGAATGAACTCACATTAAGAAGAGAATCAACCCGGGAAGAGACACTAAAACGCTCTCAGCATAAAGCTTTGGTTGCAGCATTTTCAGTTTGCAAAGTTAAGGGGTCAGGAGTTCTACATCAATAGAAAGAACTTTTCACTTCTGTGTGTCTCAGATTAAGCCGAGGCCTGGATGGTTGGGGACCAGAGCATACCAGATTGACTTGATTCTGCAATTTTTTGTGCTTTCTCAAAGGGCCAAGGGGTGTGCCAGACACACAGTAGGTCCCATTGTGGTTACTTCTCCTAGTGTCTGGGTGCATAATTGCATGCGAGAGAACTTTACTTGCATGAGACTTCACTGAAAGTTTTTGTTCAATGTTTTAGTTATGTCACCATGACAGCAGGAAAGTAGCTGATGCTCTAGATGAAGTTGAGAGTGGAATGCTAAAAATACTTTGGAACCACAGGTGTGTCCCTGCTGAAGAAAGGATAGTAGAGCTTTTTTGTTCTAATGTGAAGATATTTTCAGAGACCTGAAACTCACAAGTGTTTTCACTAGCTGGAAAAAAAACCACTTTCGTTCATTTTCTTTGTATTGTCTTATAAACTAGCACTTGATAGAGTAAATTGGAGAATGCAGAATAACCACTAGAGAAGGTGTGAGTTGGATCATAGCTGAGAGCTGGATTAAGAATAACAAATTTCTTGCAGGGTTCTCCTTGCTGAAGTCTTTCTAGCTATTTAGTTGAAAACACTGTGAAAAACACTTTTTCTAACAATAATTCTTCAACCAGATGGCATAAAGAGTATTATTTTACCTTGTTAGTTTTGACTTAAGCAATTATCGAGGCTTTAGAAACTGTGAAAATAGAAAGCAGTACATGAAAGATTGTGCTAATGACCATATGCTGTGATCTGTAGGGCCAATTTTATTTATTGTTTAAGGGCAACATTATACAACAGTTAATTAGGGAGAGGGGCAGGGGGAAGAGAGATTAAATCTCCTTCCAGATGCAGGTTAATGATCCCGAGTGGTAGTGTGAAAAATCTGGGCAACACTCAACTGTCCTTCCCTTGCTTTCTTTTTCTGTCTTTGGAAAACCAAATACAGAGTAGCAAATGGTATTTGGAAGCTAACAATTCTGTTTAATTTATATTGCAACACAAAACTTAAACCAAAATAGGGTAAAGTGATGTTTACCCTGAATAATTGTCCTAACTCTTAATTTTTGCTGGCATAGGTGGGGTGGTGACCTTTTGTGTGGACAACGAATGTCAGCCTGTTCTGGTTCTAGTTAGAACAAAATAAGCTAGACCAGCAGGTTTGCTTCTTTCTGTTGCCTTTGCATCACTGTCAAGACTTGTGTTGACTTGGCTATTTTTTTTTTTTAAATAACAAAACCCCCAGATCTGCACTTCTGACTATCATGACAAAATGCTATTTAGACCTGCTTTTTAAGTCTTTTGTTTCATAAGCAAACAGAAGAAATATGGTTGTGATGAAATTAATGTTGAGTGAGTTCAGAACAGTTTGGAAAAACTTGCAGAGAATAGATGTTAGAAGCTTATCTTAAAAATGTGATTGACTGGGAAGGGCTCTGTCAGTGTCTGTCCCTGCATCCATTACTAATGAGTATTTTCATTAGCAATCTGCTAGAATGAAGTCTGTTTATTAAATTTGCAAATGAGACCAAATGGAAAAGAATTCACACTCTGAGAGCAGGATTGAAAGCAACAGTGTTGTCAACTATACTAAATATTATCAACTGTACAAATACAGGCCAGGGAGTAATTGGTTGTGTCAGTCTTTTAGAAAAGCAGTTGGATTGTGTAGCAGGCTACAAGCTGAATACGAAACAGTTATGAGATGCTTTTGCAGTAAAGGCAAATATTATACTGGAGGGTGTTAATGAGATTGTTCTCAAGATACATAAAATACTCTCTGACTTTATTTAGCATTGCTCTTAGCCAGAATATCACCTTGGCCACTGTATTTAAAAATAACAAACAACAGTGCAACTCCAAGAAAGATAAAGCAATGATCAGAAGTCTGTCTTCCCCCCCCCCCCCCCCCAAGCCTGTGGGTTTTTTTCCTAGAAACTGGAGCTTTCTTGTCAAAAGGAGAGAAGGCTGAGTAATCTCTTACAGGATCGAATAACAGGTCACTGCTGGAACTGGAAACTGATCCTGTTTGGGTTTGGAAGATTGATTGAATGAATGAATATTTGAAGTCACCTTAACACTGTTTTGCAGCTTTCTTGATGAATGCAGTTAGTCAAGTGATTCATTTTCACTTGAATTAAGAGGGAGGTAGTGTAAACAGGAGGAGAGAAACCATTTAAAATGGAGAAAAAGACTTCATGTTCATTGTTCATGTTTGTTTGACAGTCTTCATTTTTGCTCTTAAACACTACTTTATTCTGACAAAGCTATATCTGTTTCTTTAACACTAGAACTAATTAGAGCAGTGATCATATGATAACTGCTGACTCTTTTGAGTTCTTGAAATCCTCCAGTAATGACGGATGTTGACTCCAGAAGCAGGCTTGGGGTGGACATAACGGAAAAGAAACATCGGATTACAGATCTAATTGTGTTTCTCAAAAGGAAAACGTCTCAAAACTAAGTATGAAAAATAAAATGGGAAAAAATATATTGTATACAAAATACAATTGCGATGATAAAAAATGACAATACTTTCAGAAACCTAGTGCTTTCACCTATGCTGAATACAGGATTTCCTTAACCTGAAGTTGGGTGCGCATGACAATCACAAAATATTTTCCAGTCCAGAGGAAAGCTATATGTACAAGGGCATTTGATAATTTTCCCTTCCTTGATTTTCTTTGGAAGTTGGGGAGGGTTGGAGGGGGAGAGGAAATAGGGCACTAAACTTGTAGAAGAGTTTACACCACTTCTTTCAGACCAGCAGCCCTCTCTGTTGACATTAATAAACTTACTCCTCTGAGCGTGGGAGGATGAGAGAAACTTTCTGTAGACAGAAACCATGAGAAGTCCAGACTTTCCTTCAGCTTTGAAGGAGAGTATGTTATTCTCTGTACCCTCACTGAATATCATCTTCAGTGTTAGCTTTTGGTTAGTAAATACTGTAAGGAACAGAAGTCAAGCTCACCTTTACCTCATTATAAAGCAGAAGGAAAGAGATAGACTTTGTCAGTTCTTAGCATGCAAACTGGCTGCTTGAAACCCTTGAGCATTGATAACAGCTATCAGAAACTGCTTTTTGCCATGATAAAACCTGACCACACCAGCTTTAATTTATTTGTTCTCATCAAGTAATAATGAACAACTAAACTACTGATTCTTTCATGGCTTCTGAAATTCATATGGCAATTCCCCCCTCACTATTATTTTTTGTCATTATATGGTCTATTGAAACCCCTGGTTTTGGTGACTGTTCAAAACCAAATCTTCTCTTTCATTGCTGGAGGGTATTAACAAATTAAAATGTATTCACATTGGCTTTTACTGAAACTTCTATACATGTGCAGCCCAAATGGTGGAGCAGGGGGGTCAGCTTGAACGGGTCGTTTACCATTTGAGGTTTGGAGTATGGAAAACAAGTTTCACTGAGGAAATACCTAGATACTTTTATTATATTCTTAAAGACAAGACAGAAAGTGGACACTTCAGCTGTCTCTCTGCCAGCAGACTTCAGTGGTTTAGATCTGAAATATTTGTTTCATGTTTTTTTGTAAACTGTAGTAAGTGTTAGCTCAGGTAGCATTTACATTGCACAATTCTTTACAAACAAGTACGTTAATTGTAGAGTGAATGTTGTGTCATCAAAGACTGAGCACTTAAATGTCAGTTAAAAATGGAGACTGTAGTTCTCAGCATTATAAAATAGCCTCCTTAATTTTATTTTTCTTTGTAGATGATTAACAGATGCTCTGTTCATTACTTGAGATAGTTGTTAAATGTAGAGTCTTATATAACTGCGTACTCAAAACCACAGTGTGATCAGTGATGGCTTTTAATGGTCGTGAAGTTAAAATATGTGGCTACATCAACAAGTTCCCATGGGGTAAACTATGGAGTATATTACATCTGGTTAGATACTGTGCAATGACTGCCCACATGCTCACTTGTTATGTCATGTAGGTGTATGGTCTGCTTCCACGAGGGGAGTTAACAGACACCTCCTCTGAGGCCTCAGGAGCCAAATGGGCAACATGTAGTAATCCTGCCAGAATCATTCTTACTTCAGAAAGATGTGAAATGGAGATAACCCTCAGTAGTTATGAAGTGGTGTTGCCTGGTTTGTTTTTTTTTGTTTGTTTGAATGGGTGGATTTGGTATTTTTTTGTTTCCTTGTGGTACTGCACAGGTATGCAGACTGGGATCTGAATGTGAAGTATTTTATCCGGTCTTGGGCCTTCCTGTAGCTCTGGCTCCTCTCTCCACCAACGAAAACACAGGAGTAGAAGATGCTCCTCTTCATGGTTGGCTTTGACAGTGTCTAATGTGCAGACAAGGAAGGTCAGTAAAAAATACAGAATTACGAGAACTCGGTGGACAGGATAGACAAGGGTAGAAGGATGGAGAAAATACTGGTTTGCACCATTAATGAGGAAGAAATGTCTCCTCAGTGACAAGAGGAACTTGTACTATACAAGTAGGTGGTTCTCCTGTGCAACAGCTCATTAAGTGTTAAGCTGGGCGGCATACCAGCTTCTAGTGAGTTAAAAGTCTGATAACATCAGCAGTTAAGGAGAAAAAACAATACACTCTCCAGAGGTTGTGAACTTTTTAATGTGTTCTGACTTACACAGCAGGTTCAATGCCAGTACAACGCTATTTAAACTGCCATTTATTCTGAATGTTTTTAAGGGATTTAATGAGAAAAAAGGCTTAGAATAAAAATAAAGAGACTGCAAGATGCTAGCAAAGTATGAAGGTAGCTGATAAGGGGTGAGGAAAAATATTTTTTTTTTTTTTCCCTGAGTTTTATTTCTTTGACTAAATGACACGCAGAACTAGAGAGTTCTAAATTTATCATCAGCTTATAAACAAATAATAGAACATAGTGTAAAGTACATTTCTATTAGCATGCCAGCAATAATTCAAAGGCTTTTCAAGGGTTCTCTTTTGTTTACTGATGTTCTTAATCTCTTTCCCGCTAAGTTAAGTGACTGGCTCCTTCTGTTTAACTTTGTTAATTTTAGACTTGCCTTTCCATAGGTGCAATCTCTAATGGATGGAGTTGGTATGGTTTCTCAGTCTATGTATCTGGGATTATTGCAGTCTGGACTGTTATTCATGCTTCTGCATGTGATCTTGCTCTGTATTGCTAAGATGTGGATTTTATTTATTATACCTAGCTTCTCTTTGGTTTGAAAACAGCTTTAGTTACTGAGGAATTTCAACTATAAACTTGTTGATTATAAATAAAATGTTTACTGAGTTTATTTCTCATATAGCTGTGTTCTCTGCTTAAGGTTACTGTCTGCATTTTAGGCTTTTTATATAGTGCAAGAATGCCTAGGGCCAGCTTGAGCAAGTAAAACTTGCTTGTGCTTTGTGTTTTAGACACAGGTCAGTTTTGAACTTCAGGTGCTATAAGCATGTCAGCACAGGAATGTATGCAGAGTAAGAATTCCCCCACTGCTATGGCAAGAATTGGTAACCTGGACATAATGTGCTACTGTAATTATACATTTACTAACTCAAGGTGGTCATTTCCTCCCATCTTGGTGTAAAGTGACTTGTATCTGAACCTGTTTGATTGTGTATGTTTACCTTTAAGAAACTCCAGTGATTTTTTTAATTTATTTATTTTTTTATCATCCCCCCCCCCCCCCCCCCCTTCACATCTTAAATGGTGGAGAGACTGAATACACTTGGGGTGTATCACCAACCCTTAGATAAGGCCTGTTTATTCCAAGTCCTTGTCTCTATTTGTGATTTAAATGCAGCATTATACCAACATGTTCTTTCCTGCATCTCTGATGTGAAATAGTATGTTATCTTGATCCTGCTTTATATAAGGTGTTATTAAACTACACTTGAATTTATGTTTTCTGGAATGTTTCCTTCAAAACTCTGCAGCTTTATTAGAGGAAAATTGAATAAATTTCAAGAAAGCATCCTAAAAATGGGTTGTTTAAGAACATCATTCAAACAAGTACTATTTCTGTTAAACTTGCTGTGCAAATACTTAGCTAGCACATCTAATTAAGAATACTGCTTTATGCAGAGTGGGTCAGGCTTTTTAATTTCACAGCAACAAATTGTTTCCAATTCTATTTCTATTTTGTGGACAAAATTCAGTTATTCTCAAACATAATGCTTGCTTCTCATACACTAATGCTGACTATTTGTTGAAGTATGCAGGTGCGGTTTAACATTTTCTGTAATATTCATTCCTTTAAACTAGTTAACATTTCTGTTCAAGTCTAACCAGATTATTTTGTTCGGGTTCCTATTAGCAGAATAATTGAGTGTGGAGGGGGGGAGGTTGGGAATTGAAAACTAAAGTAAGTCTTCCACAAAAATACATCTGTGGATACATGTTACTTAAACAAAAAACACCCCAGGCAAACTTAATAAAAATTAAAAACTGATGTGTGTAAGTTAGTCCATAAACCTGGATTATGTTTCTTTCTCCCCACATTTCATGCCTTGCAAGACATGGATGTTTCAAAGCCCTGTGTTAAGAGAAGCTAGTTAATAACTCTGCACCTTAGTGGAGAACTCTGATCAGGTGACAGCTGAAGTTTACCTTCTGGTGATGTTCTGACAAGACTTATGCTGTCTTACTCTAAAAATCTCTCCAGATAAAACTATTTTGATTCAACTGTAACTTATGGCCTAATTTTTGGAAATAAAACACCGCTTGACTTCAAGTGTGTCTTTGGTTGTATCGTATCTGTCCTAAAGCTGATTTAGCAAAGTTGCAGTAAAACCCAGATTTGTTTAGAAGCTGGCAGCGCTTGTATATCTTAATCCTCTGTGTTGTGTCTTATCTATAGTAATGACCAAAAATTGCATCCTGTTTTTCTGGGGAATTGTTCTTTTTGTCTTTTCAGTGTATGCAGAGAATATTTTCAGAACGGTGGGAAAAGAAAAGCACTTGAGAAAGATGAAAAAAGAGCACTTCTTGCTTCTAAGACCACTCCAGCTTTAAGTGTCCCCCAGGCTCCCAAGATCGAAGATCCCTTGCCAAACTCTGGCTTGACAAATCATGAAGCTGTAACAGAAGAGTAAGTTTTACTTGTTTTCAGACTGGTTTTCTTTCTCTTTGTGTGATACTACTTAACCTGGACATTTTTTCCCTGTAACATATTAGATGAGTCTGATGTATTTTTAATAGTTAAGAAAGGGAATTTTCGTGTGACTATATAAAATTTTACAAAAAATATTTGTTGTGGTATATTTTGGTAGATGCCATAAAAAAAAATTGCTTGAGAATGACTACTTAGTCATCTTCATTTAAGTGTTAGAGCAATTTCACTTTTGCATGTTATTGGTGTGCAATGCAATTTATGTAAAACCTTGAGGGGAAATAAGGGAGATGTTAATTAAGTTAGAATCTAATGGCTGTTCAGCACTGTTGAAAAGTCAATTGCTTATGTAAGTGCTAAGTGCCAAATGTAAATACCAGAGTACTTAAAACTTTCCCTTCATAAATAATTGCAGAGAAACTCTTCCAATAATACACTTCAAAAGCAATTTTGAATTATAACCCTTAATTTTAAATGTGCTAGCTTTCTGATGACTGGCTTTGCGGAAGTTGTAGTATCCTTGAGGTATTTTCCTAACAACAGTTTTAATTTTTTTGACCTTCACTCAAGTAGGAATTTTATTTTTGGCATTCAGGAGTAGCTTTATTGTTTCAGTTACAGTCTCACCCTCTGTTTTTCCTACATGGGTCATGTTTGTGGCTATTCAGGTGTGGTGGAAGAAACACTAATATTTTGCAAATATAATGGAATAATGAATGCATAAGCATATTCTCATTAAATGTTACACTTCGGACTTGTTTCATGTTCTTGCAACTGTCTGCAGTAGTGGTGTTTCTGTTCTGAGAAGACATTTTTCTCATTATTGCAGCACAGCTGCTGTGATCAGCACTTTAAGTTAGATGTAGTATTAGTTAGGAAAGAAATGTGCACATTACTAATGTTATGAGCAGATGTGTCAGTCCTTATAAGCTAATATCTTTTGCAGTTCCTTGTGTTTGTAAAGTAATTTGCGAAAGGCATTAAGATTCCAAATGCCCATGTGTTGAATAGCTGCATGAAAAATGAAAACATTTTCCCTGTTCTTGTCCTTTTATAACAAGACAAAATAGATGCTTCTGAAATGAAGATAGTGGCTTCTCATAAGCTGACTTCCTCCACAAACTCCTCTTTTTATTGCTCATTTTGCTAAGCCAGCCTCAAAATGAATACCTGTTTTTAATGAGAACTGCCAGGCACTTTCACACAAAGGTATGATAAGATACTAATACCTTATAATCTCAGTAATGCTGGCATTTGTTAACACATGATTTTATTATTACTGTAAATAGCAGTTGGTTTAAACTTGTTTGTTTGAATCAATAGGTTTGATAATCATACGCTACTTAAAGTTGATTTGTCTTCCACTGGGAGGCCTTGTCATGATAAAGCATTAGCCCTCTCTTTGCATGTGCTCTGTTGTCATACTTTACAATGGCTGTTGGGGAGCTAACTTCACAAGTGTCTTCTTACTCCCTGTAGCCTGTAGGCTTAATTTTTGTTCTGACTAGTGTGTATAGAAAGTAGTTAATAGAGAAGTTTTTATTAAATAATTTTAAAAGTACTTGTTAATTGTTAATATAGTGAGTGGTTATGGTTTTTTTTTAATCTTTGTTCTAAAACTGTAAAAATACATACATCCATAAAAACATACCTGGCAAAAGCAAGTTTCATATTATCAGAGTAAGCAACAGATGATAGTAAGGTTTTTAGTACATGTACAGGCCTTAAAGCAACAAGGCATAGCTGTACTGTGAAGCTGCCCAGCATGAAAATTCAATTTCTTCCTCTATGCCTTAGAAGAAATTAGAGTTTGTAAGAATGAAAATGGACTGTGTATTACACAAAGCATACTTTCCTCCTAAATGCTTTTCTACCATGTCTGATCAATTACTGAAGTCTGAATCTCACTGAGGTCTTTGTACAAGGGGTATGGGGGAACTTCTTCCCACACATGCACGTGTTCATATTCTGTCACTCCATTCTGGTCATATAACACTATCTTGTCTATAGGTATGGCTAAGCCTGTGATTTTGGTTTACTCCAGGTAAGTGTAAAAACAGTAATTTTGTTCTTCATATATATAATCCTCTCTCAAGTTATATTTAAACCAAGTTCCTTCTGTAGGACCTCTTTCTGAATCTGCCTTTACTGGAAAACTTGTGGAGAGACTGTACTTTGCTTGTTAAGGAGCAAAGCAGGCTTAAAAGTTCCACGGGTAATAGAAAAGATGCTGAGAGATGTGGAGAGGAGCTCAGCCACCTCTTAAAGGTGAGAGAAGGAAACATCTTAGGAGCCAGAAATGCAAAGTTTACTGCAACTCAGTCACTCGGCTATTCTGATGAACCCATTTCCAGTTGCTCATGTTGCTCACCTCTTTGCCACATTAAAACTGGTGAATTGCACAGCAATAACTAATGCGACCAGTTATTTTTTACGTTCATCTATATGAAAAATAATGTATTTTCTGCAGTACTTCCTTCCACCTTATAATGAGTACTTATATCTCTGACATTACAACTGCACCTGTTGTGAAGCTGGACATCAAACTGTTTGAGTCTTGCAAGACAAAACTGGTTGTTATCTGCTCTTTAACAATTTCTCCCTTCAATAAATCAGTTCCCTCTTTGTTTTCTTTTTGAGTATTTCCTTTTGCCGTCAAATTAAGCAGTCTTGCTTTTTATCCTCAACGGTAAAAATCACAGATTTTTTTGTATGGGTTCTTCTCAGGTCCTACTTTGACTGTCTCTTAAGGTACAACCTGTTATTCCTTCTTTTGTAAGTATCCCAGCAAGGTAGAGCTTCTCTTTGGTTTTTGAGGCATACCAGTGTTGCCACTCCAGACCAGATGTATAGCTTTATTCTGCTCTTCTGACAGCAGCGTAAGGCTTCTGAAATTTCTTCCCCCTCATGTCCTTGATAAATAATAGAGTAATTTAAAACTGTGAACTAGGAGATCAGCACTTAGAGTGATTAATTTCAGAGATAGTGACTTTCCTCATGGTCATATCACTGCTCTACTTCTATCTACTTCCAAGAGAAAATGTCATTTTACGTGTACAGCACCTAGTTGAATAACGGGTACATTTTTAAGGGGGCTAATAATAAAGAGCTGTAGTCCATTTAATAAAGTTCTTGAAATAAACAAGTGGGGGAATATATTTAAAAAGCAGTCATTCCCTGGAAGCGTTCAAAACCCATGTAGATGAGACCCCAACATGGTTTAGTGGTGGACTTGGCAATCCTGGTCAAACTTGATGACCTTAAAGGTCTTTTCCAATCTAGTTGATTCTATTATTCTGTTTCCCAGGTTATGTACACTTTTTTACCAGTTCCTGATCTGTAACTGTTCTGTTTCCCAGGTTATGTACACTTCTTTACCAGTTCCTGCTCTTTAACCAATTACATTTTGTTTTTTCTACCTGTACACTAATGCATTGAAGAGTTATGGATCAAGATGTGCCTGGATATTGCCTACAGTGACAAAGTACTTCCCTTGCTTTTAATGTTTCCTTTGCTGAAAATCATTAAGAAACAGGGTGTTGAAGGGTAATTATTAGAGAATTCAGCAAGACTGTATTTCTAACAAAGTCACTGGCTCACTGGGTGAGTGATTGTCACCTAAATTACAGCTTCAAAACTATTTCAAGCACCTGACTAGGCTCCTGTTCCTACTGGCTGGTAACTGGCAGCCTAAGAGTTGCTACTGAGCAATTTGTCACACCTGTGCTCTGAGAGGCAGCAAAATCTTACAAGCAACAGGAAGTCAAGACACAAGTGAGAATCTGAATCTCTGCTACTTTTACGATTTCAAAGTATGTTTACATTGAATTTAGATTACAAGGCTCCTTGGATGTGATACACCTATCAAAGTGAATTCGTTCTCCATTAGTGTAGAAGAGAGTTTCTGGCTTCTGCTCAGCTTGGAACCCAGAGTTACAGCTTTCCAGAAGAGTGTCCGATGCTGTAGTAGTCTGAAGTATTGTCTCCCTTCACCCAGTCAAAAAATAACAGTGCAGACAAGAATGCAGGTTGTGTAAGAGAGGAAGACAGACTACATCACAGTGATTCTTCACTTTACTGTAGGTGAGGAGGGCTCTCATGGAGATAAGAGGGTTCTGGGCTATATTGCTTAATTTTAATTTCTACAGGTATTTCATCAAATACTTTAAATGGAAAATGGTTTTAAATGGAAGTCACTGGAGGCTGTCACTCTTATAGGAAGTTTGCACTGTAGAGTCACGTTCCCTGTTCTTGTGTTTCATGTGTCTTCTATTGATTTGCCATTGGACTCTTACATAGAACACAAATGTACATGCAGACATATATTTTTGTATTTTAATGAGATAGAATCTACCATCAGTGTCTCCATTTGCTGGACAAGGAGATGTGCTAGTCCAGGAAACCTCATACTAGCCCTATGTGGAAAAAGACACTGCTTGACTTCAACCTGTGTTTGTGGTTTATGGCCACTAGGATTTGAATGGTCCCTCTGCAGCATTTCAAATTCCTGTTGTATAGATTACATTGTGATTGGCATCCAAGCTACGGGAAAAATTGTCACTATCCTCTTCATTCTGAAATCCCACTCAGGACTGAGTGACTTCCAGGGCAGCCTGGTAATGTGTGCATTTTAACTTAGGGTTAATTGTTGCATTATTTGCTTTGGTGATGCTGGTATTTTGACAGAACTATCCCCTAGATATCTTCTGTTCTGTCTAGAAGTAAAATCCCTTAACTTGGCATTTATTCTGCCAAACGCAGCGAGAAATCCTCTCTTGTTTTTTTCAACATCCCCTCTGTGGTAGATCAGTGGGAATTTAGGAGCCCAGATCTATTTACGCTGCTTAAAGATACTGCAGAAAATTGTATTCCTTACTGTTTTGTTGTTGCTATGAGTACATCCATGGTTTTGTTGGACTCCATTAGCCCTGCAGATCTGTTTCTGAAAGTTTTTGTAGTTATCTGTCTCTCAAGGGCTGAATCTTTCCCAGAAAGATGACAAGTGATATTTTGGAGATGCCAATTGGAACTGGCTACAGACACTTGAAAAGAAAAGCAACATTTGCTTGCTGGATAGTTACCATTCTCCTCCCTCTAAGTTCCCTGTGAGTGTGATGAATTTATATTTGTTTGCCTCCATTAATGGATTTTGGGTGTTCTAAGATCTTGGAAATAGTGATGGAAATTTTTAGATGCAGCTCTGTAAATGATGCGGTAGAAAGAGCTCAAACTGTTGGGTGCTAGTGGTGCTGTGTTTTTGCTTGTTTTTTTTTTTTTATGTGGCCACATTCATTACGTGGATGCCTTCATCAAGCTGTGTTCCGAAGAATAGGCAGATGCAAAGTCTGTACTAGTGGGCTAGAACAGAATAGTTTAACACTTAATGTTTTGTTGGAGTTACAAAAAAAGATAAACAGCAGGGGCCTCCATATTCAGAGTGTAAGGAAAATAACAACGTGTTTGAATGTAGGATGTATTCAACAGCTGAGTCCTAGGTATTAGTGATAACTGAGCGCAACACTAATTCTTTTTAAGAGGGGCAGCATATCAGGTCAGACACATGAAATTCCAGGAAGAGGCAAAACTTTTAAATGACAAGATAGCTGACTGCCAGTACTTCTGTACAGGTACATTGATTTTACCTGACACTATGTTCCATACACTGGTAACTGCGTTATCATGAAGAGAATACTTAAGGTTGCAAACTTGACTACAAATGTTCCTCCTGGCGTTGGTCAAGGAGACTGTCCTCTGGAAGATAAGAATGCTTTCAGAGGCAAGGCAGCAGTCACTAACTGCAAAAGTTGCCAGGCAACTTTCTTCTTTTTTTTTTATTTTTACATTATGCATTTAACTTAAGAGCAGTGATGTCTTTATTTCAGATTGGGTTTGCAGTTGGTCAGAGATGTCACAGCTTCCCAAGAAAGGCAAGTCCAGCCTCTAGTTTATTTTCTGCTGTAGTATAATGGGGGCTTCAACCAGACAGTACAAGAATGTCCTCTCTTTGTTTCTTCAGTCTTCTGTTTTCTTTCTGATCTCCCACTCCTACAGGATATTTTACCCCAGAAAGTTTTGGAATCTGTTTGAGCAGATAATGGGCCAGTTATTCTGTGTGGGGTTTTTTTTTTGGTGGTGGTATTTGGTTTTGTTTTTTCATTTTTCTATGACATCTTGGAAGAATATATATGTGCATCTCTGCATTCTGGAACTAGTGTCCTCAGTAGTCTGTCAACTGCCTGCTATCAGTCCAAGCAGTAAGTCATGATTTCTCAAGTTACTTTTTCCGTGTGTCCTGGGTTCACCCTGCCCTCCCCCCTCTCCTCCTTTTAAACATTCACTTTTTGTTGTTTGATAGCATAGGTAAGTATTAAGCATTACATCCATTGGTCTTCTTATCTATAATTTCACCTTGAATAGTAGGGTCCGCACACAGTGACAGATAAGAATATAGATTTTTGGCTTACTAAAATGTTCACCAAAATTCTTATGGGATGAATCTTCATTTGTGAGTACTTCAGTAATACTCTGATTAGGACTCTCCTAAGCCAGACAGCTATTTTTGTGTGCTTCTAATTAAAAAGCTTTTGGGTACTGCAAAAGAAAACTGATTGCCTGGCATGGAGTAGGTTGGGGGACTTTTTTTATTTGGTTGGTTGTTTTTTTTCCCCAAGTAGTTTTCAGGGATTACTTTTATTCATTTAGATGCTTAGTAGAATAACTTTCCTACAACTTGAGCAGCCAGGTTTTAAGTTTATGGCTGTGTGTGGACTGATCTCTTTTACAGCATCCATTGAAAACAGAATTGGAGTGAACCTCCAGCAGTCGTCCATTTAAAAAATAAGTTAGCTAACATGAAGCAAATTGAAGATTTTAATTTTTTTTCAGGGAATAACTAAATGCTTTAAGGTTTGTTTTGTTTACCTTGGAATACCATTATGTGTTCCCTTGTCTTTATTAAACAAATTGTGGCACTTGACTTCACATGCCCTTTAAAATGGGACTAACAAGTAGGTATGTCATAGTGTTAACCAGTTTCTCTTTTAAACTCATGAAATTTTAAGTGACTTATGTGACTTCAACACCAATAAATACTGCAAAAAGGTAAGTAGAAAACACAAAGCAATAGAGGAAGTCTGTCTAGTGGGCACGCAAGTTGCCATTTTACTTTCTTACTACAAGTAACACAAGTTAATAGTATTACAGCTGCTCTGAACAGAACTCTTCCATTTCAAGGCCATCTGCTTTACTGGTGGAGCTTGGCTTTTAGGAATCTCAACAATTCAAGTAAGGCATTCACTTCTGTTAGTCACTACAGAGGTGTTCTGTGAGAAATTTTTTTGCATTAGTTATCTGAAATTGTAGTTCAGAATATAGCTTCAGAATTAATACTTGATAAAACTGAATTCTTGTTGCTTTTTAGATTGCTCCACTCCTTGGGGAAGATCAGGTTACTTGATGTTGGTAGCTGCTTTAATCCATTTCTGAAGTTTGAAGAATTTCTGACAGTTGGTATCGATATTGTTCCAGCTGTTGAGGTATGTAACAGTTGCTGAGTTTATATTAAGTTTGATTCTCAGATACTTCAGAATTCTTCAAAATGACCGTAAAACAAAGTATGTTTAATACTTAAGTATGCATCCTAAATTTCTGTGCTTTTAATAGGAACTGTGGCCCTCCTACTACATCCTTTCCTATGAATAGGGCATAAACTGTAGTTGTGGTTTGGTTTAAGAATCTGGTTGGTTGGTTGGTTGTTTTTTTTTTTTTTTCCCCCAGGAGTTATGCCTTTACAATGCAGTTGTGAATCTTAAAATTGGAACATTTTAGTAGCTGTCTTTTAATAGCATTTCACATATGCCTTTGCATCTTAAAAGGTGTAAATAAAAATTGAGTAGGCTTATGTTTAGGCATGAGCCTCCCAAGAAGTTCCATTCACTGACAGAAGGAAATGATCGGTGACTGTACCTGATGAGTTTTTCTGGGGAGCTTTAGTAACCAGTAGTGCACTGTAACGGCACTTTTCTGTTAGTTGCTAGAAATATTATTGAACTAGTGTAATCCTAAGGACAAATTTATTGCCACTTTTGGAGTAAATTCAGTTTCTCTAGGCAGTAATTCTGCTGTAATCTTCTGTTCTTTCTTTTGCTCTTAACCCAACTTATGTGAGTCATAATAGTGTTTCTCAACCAAGGAAAATGACAAAGTGTTATAAAAATGAGAAGGTAGAAATAAATTTCTGACAGAAAACACCTTGACCATTCAAACCTTCACCAGTTACAGTTTAAAATCAGGCTCTGTTAAAAACAGTGACCTAAGTTGACCCTCTTCAGAGGTGGAGAGGTGAGAATTGTACAAATACAGTAACACAGCTAACTAGAAAGTTGCATTCTGTTATTCGCTGCAGTATGGTTTACATGCTAAATGCGTGGTATATTGTTGTGGCTACCAGGTGTAGTCCACTAACACCTAGTTTATCTTTCTGTGTATGTGCTTAGAGTTAATGAAAGATCTTGGAAAAAAGATGGCCTTTTAAAGCAATTCAGTGGTTTTTTTTCATCCAGAACACAAAGAAACTTTGAGTGGTTTCCATCTTGCCTAATTTGAAGAATAGGCACCAGTTGCCCAAACACAATTTCACAAATACTTAAGAGACTGTAGGACACCTGCATCCAGGTTTTGGGCGAGATGCAGGATGTGAAGGAGACAGATGCCACTGAAGTGGCAGCCTGTGGCACCTAAAATAATAATATGTGGCAAGTAAATTTCCAGCTAAGATATACAAGGTGTCTACATCTGGGATTTTAAGTTCCAGTTGTAGTCAGTGAAGATTTAGTAAAAATAGTCAGGGTGAAACCTAAACATCTGCTGTTTCATGGTGAGATGAATTGTGTTCTGACCTCATGGGCATGCCTAGCTCACCAGTGACTATAATGGGAGCCTAGGCACCTGAAGTCACATGAGCTGAATCTAAGCATTAATTTTTGGGTATGTATAGTTAATATTTTGCTATGTAGGCTATTGTGCTATTTTCGGGAGAAAATTACTTTTGTTTTCATGAAAATCAGTTTAAATGTAGAGTGACCAAAACCATTATTGGAAGAGTCCCAGAAAGGTCACTTCTGTGGAGGAATATGAGTAATCCAGGCCAGACAAAAGGAGAGGAAACTGAGACCAGGGTAAACAGAACAGGTTTCTTCTTGACCTAGTGTTTTTGTTGGCTATTCCTTCTAACATTCTGCTCATAACACAGATATTCCCGACTGCAATTAGCAGTGGTTATTTTCATAGAGGATTTTAATTTGTCTACATTAAAAAACCAAACAAAACAAAACCCCACAGCAACAAACAATAATGCAAAAAGAAAAATTGGAATGAAGAGAGAATCTCCACTTTGGGAAAACACAAAATTTCACACTCTTGCAAAGCATGCAGTACCGGAATTAAAAATTATAATATACAAGTAAGATTGTGTTCTTAAATGTCAGTGGATGCACTAAAATGTGGCTGCTGTTTCAGTGTCCAGGAGGAATTTAACATCAGTTCAAGATTTTTATATGTAGAGTTAAGTAGCAGTCTCCACTTTAGCTGCATTTTTGTCCTAAAACTGTCTGCAGAGTCAAGGTTCTGCTTGAAGCACACTTTAGTCCTGAATTTGTCTTTAACATGGTTTCTACACAACTGTTTTATTTTTTCCACTACTCACAAATACTTGCAGTCTAAATTGTTTTTTTTTTAACTGTATATGTATAACCTCAAACTTTTAAAGTCTTGCTTCTAAGTGAAGTTAGCATGGTACTCCGAACAATTACTCTTCAAAGCACTTCTGTCTTCTACAATTTAATAGAGGATATCATGAAATGACTACTGATAATTTCCTGTTCTAAGTATTGTAAGCAAGCAGTATATAGCCCTGCAGGTATAATGGTCGCAATTAAAATTTCTTTATTATAGCCACATAATGCAAGTCTTTCTTGATTTTTCACATTGGAGGCCAAGATTAAAGCTGCTGAAAAATAAATCACAAATTCTTATATTTTTTTAAACACTGACTTTTTCTAATTTACTGCATACTCTCAGAGAATGGGATTTCATATAAGCAGGAATAACATTCTCTTCTACTTGGAAAAAATTGTGCTTATCAGTTGCTTTAGAAATGCCTTTACAGTGGTGTTCTAGAGAGATTTTTGAATGTTTTTTCATAAAATATGCTATAAATATTTTTGTGGTATGAAAATGCAGATTTAAGTCCACCTTTCAGATGTGCTTAACAGAATGTTTTGTGTCTGCTTTCATGTTAACTTACCAGTTAAGTGTCTTGTCGTTCACTGCACATTCTCTAGGCATTAAGAACAATTTTTGTTGCTATTGTGTCAAAACTTTACCACTTAATACCATTTTTATGAACAAAGTCAGTACCAGGCTTTGATGAATATAAAGTGTCAAAACTGAAATGTAGTGAATAGCATACTATTATCTTGATTTTTTTGAATGCTCTGTGATTAAAGATGTTAAGAACTTGCTCTTCTGTATGTTGTATTGCGGTGTCATTTCCCATCTCTGATAACTTGAGCATGAATGATCAACAGATGGATTTATAGCCCTTGACTTACTTTGATAATTGCCCAAATGTGTACTGCTACACTTTGCTTTTACAGTAAGGTTAAAACATGAATCTGTATTACTGCTGCCAAGCAGTTCGTGCACTCTAACTTTCTAATGTGTTGCCTTGCCGTAGCTTCTTTCTTTCTGTACCAGTAAAGAATAACACTTTTTTCCCAAGTGACCGAACTTGGGAAAACTAAGCTTCTTAGATTCTTTTCAGAGAATTGATGGAAATACGGAGGTATCAGATTTAGTTTCTAAATACTAATTTCAGGTTTATAAAAACCTGTAAAAGGTTTCTAGCATCTGGAGAAAAAAAAAAACAGTATGGGCTTATCTGACTTCTTAAAGCATTTGTTAGAAAGTTGTTTCGATACTTTGTTCTACTTGAGCTAAATTTCTATTTTATTCTTTTAAGTAAGTGCTCTCAATTAACAAATCTCTAGAAAATTACTGCACATATAAAATTTTGCTTTGCAACTGTGAAAGCTAGCATTGTATGTTAAACTGGTATTTTAGATTGTTGAATTTTAACAGCAGGAGGAGTGTTCAACAGGCTTAATATTTCCTCAAGAGATTGGAGAAGTTATCACTGATTTTTCTGAAAATCTATTGTATTTGCTCTCTAAATTAACCTTTATATTTGTTTTTTTTTCTTATTCCATTAGAGCGTATACAAATGTGACTTCTTAAATCTTCAGATTCAGCAACCACTCCAACTGGCACAAGATGCTATAGATGCCTTTCTTAAGCAACTGAAAAACCCTATTGATTCTCTACCTGGAGAACTATTCCATGTCGTTGTTTTCTCACTCCTCCTTTCTTACTTTCCATCACCCTATCAACGATGGATATGCTGCAAGAAGGCACATGAACTTCTCGTATTAAACGGCTTACTGCTTGTAATAACTCCTGATTCATCTCATCAGAATCGCCGGGCTGTGATGATGAAAAGCTGGAAAATTGCCATAGAGTCCTTGGGTTTTAAACGCTTCAAGTATTCCAAGTTTTCTCACATGCACCTGATGGCATTTAGGAAGACTTCCCTGCAAACAACAAGTGACTTAGTTAGCAGGAACTACCCAGGAATGTTGTATATCCCGCAGGATTTCAACAGTATAGAGGAGGAGGAGTATTCCAACACTTCCTGCTATGTTCGATCAGATACAGAAGATGAACAACTAGCTTATGGTTTTATGGAGCTACCTGATGCTCCTTATGACTCAGACTCTGGAGAAAGCCAGTCTAGTTCAATTCCTTTCTATGAGCTAGAAGATCCTATATTGCTTCTAAGTTAATGTAGTTGTTGAAAGGCCCTTTCAGTCAAACTCTTGCTTAACTGATTTTGCTATACTAACATGGGCTCAACACACAAAAATGGTTTGCATAAAGAAAATGCAAAGGTTTACAGAGTTTGCTATTTTTTTCTACTTTTGAATTTTAAAATTTATTCTTGTATGAAAGTGAGAAAAAATACAAGTTTTATGCACATGACTCATGTCATAGCATAAATTGCTGTTACTTTCTTTAGATTTGTATCACTAATTCTTTTCCAGAAAGGTACCATTCTCTTTAGTGCTGTGAAGTGTGAATTCTATTTAATTTGTTAAACGTTGTTTCAATATTTTAACCCAATGTGGTTGAGCTTAAGACGCTGGAGTTGCTGGGCTTCTGAGAAGTGTATGTAGGAAGAAATAATTAGCACTTTAACTAAATGTGCAGATAGGTTAAGACACTTGGTTACACGTATCCCTTCATAATTATGGAGCAAAACTTTTTCCCAAAATTTGTTTCACTCTGGTTAAGCCAGAGATGGAGAAACTACAATGCTTGCACATTTAATTTTGTTTATTACAGCCCTCTTGAGGTAAAGCCAAATGGAGATAACACCCAATGCTGGAATATATTAATCCATAGTTATACATACAGTGTAATTTTGTTGCATAAATAGCAGTTAGATATGAGATTTCTGTAGAGGTTATCCCCCCCAGAGGAGTATGGTACATCTAGACAATTATGTTTCACTTGAAAGCTGGAACGTGGTTTTGCAATTTTGCAATTTTATGAGTGCACAGACATATATCAGTATTTTTCTCCAGTTCTCTTCAAACTGTTTTTTGGGGGGACAGGGTGGGTTTGTTATGTTTTAAAGTAAATTATTTATGCATTTTAAAAACAAGCAACTCTTTCTTTAGTTGTCCTTATTTGTAGACCTCCCAAGTTATACAGTAAATACAGACCAATTTTGTAAAACGGAACATAATTTTACAGTTTTTCAGGGATACACATATTTGCACAAAGTTGTGTATTCAGACCACACAAGTGAAGTTAACATAATTTGTTTGCTTATTTGGACCCCAAAATCTTCTGGATAGCTAAATAAAAACTCCATAGCTGTCTGAAAACTGGTCCTTGCTATCAGGAGATGGAACAGAAGTGGTTTACATCTATTAAGTTTTTTAACTTGCGTAATAAATCTGTGAGTTTTTGCAGGAAAGAACAATTATATTCAGTGGTAAAACCAGGGGATTCAGTATTAGCTTAGCTTAGCTTTCCCTCCATCTAAAAATAATGGCCAGAATTTTCAGGTTTGGATGTTAGGCTGTTAAATCTATACGTAAGTGCCTAATAATAAATGATTTGAACTAGGTGCCACATTGGGGTTTTGATTTCCGCAAAATGGTAGAAAATACTAATAGAGTTTCAAAGGTGGTTGTGGTGAAATGCACCTTACACTCTATTAACCTACCATGTTGTACTTATCATAGAGAGGTTACTGAAGTTGTAGTGTGGAATTTACAGTGGTTGCTACAAAAATGAAACTTACTCCTTCCATTGAAGTTTTGCACTGAAAGTGTCATTGTTTGACCTACCTGTTTGTTTTGTTTTTTTTCTTTTATACTGCTTCCTACATAGTCATCCCCCATTGGTCCAGTTTACACTTGAAATGTGATCTGGACTGTAATGCTTTATTCTTTAACATACGCTTTTTGTGTTTCTCCCCTTGAATTTAAAGCATTCCCTAATTTGTGATTCAGATTTGTTATTCAATCTGAATTATATCCTTATATACAAACCAAACAATTCTGATGTATTAAAAAAAGTTTTGACATACAAGTATTAAGGCTGATCTTTTTTGATTATTTTTTAGAGAGAATACTTCACTAATGAAATCGTCAATGGCTTCAAAATTGGCTCTAAGTCAGTATTTGCATCCAATGCTTTACTTCGCTTGCCGTTCAAAGCCTTTCTTCTTCCCAGTTAACCACTGACTCCAGCAGTGCTCCTGTTAAAGTTCAAATGCTGGTGCTATAAATTCAGCTGTTTATGGAAACTTACTCTGTGCATACTTCAAAGTGTACCTAACATTTTAACTGATACTCCTTTTAAAACAAGTTCTATACCAGATAACATATATGTTGACATTGATTAAATTTTGTGATTTATACAAAAAAGACCAAGATCTATCCCCTCCAAACAGTTTAAAATATTAACATTTAAAATCTAAGCCGTTTTGACAAGTTGGTGACACCATAGTATTTGTGGTTTAGGGACCTGAAGCTCAGAACAGCTTGGTTTTTATGCTGCTCATTCTATATACCTGAAGGGGGGTTTGGGGGTGTGTGTATTTAGTTTGTTTGTTTGGTTTTTTTTACCTTTTTTTTTTTTTTTCAGGGGTGGAGGGGGTAGGTAGAAAGTGGGATTTACATAAATCTTCTATCTCCCTGAACAATAAAGTGGTGATATCAGGAGTTGTTGGATATTTGGCTTTGGTGCAAGAAGAATGTTTCTAGATTATGAAGTATTTGAAAATTATGACTGTGCAAGAGATCTCTTGTTCTTAAGGTGCTGGAGAGGAAAAGGAACATGTGTATTTGCATTTCTGTTGTCTTTATGTCACTACCTTTTGTGAACAAAGCACATTTATTAAAAAATACAAAATCTGAATCTTTTTAAAGACTGTTTCTTTGGGGTGGAGATGTCCCTTTTCTTTCCTGTGCAATTGGCTTATGCAGAAATCCAGTGAAACCAATGCATAGTTTTCCTTACTATCAAGAAAATAGTTGTGTTTGGGTTAATTTTATAAACTGAATTATAGTAAAGATGTGGAAGCTGAAACTGAAGTACCCAATTTAACATCTCGGTTGTGGTCTTTGCTTTACAGGAGACTTTCTGGAGTTCCTCCAGTTGTACCTGTACCATGTTTCTTTGCCTGCCCACTTGGAATGCAACCACTTTTTTAAGACAGTTCCTGTCTTCTCTCTCTACGTGTTCTTAATTTCTGTCTCCTTGGAATACCTTTGCAGCAGAGTGCTTGTGTTTGTTTGTTGTTAACCCATGGAACTTTAGGCCTGTTGGGAGGTTTTACTGAGTTTTGATGAGGGAAAATGATTTTGGAGACAGCTCAGGTTCTGTTGAATCAGTTGTCTGAATAATGACAGCCTGTTGAAGCTCAGCTCCTTGGATATCCAGCTGCCGGCAGTCAGCACTAGTGCTTCTTGACTGTGGGCGAGAAAGGGGCTGGTTGGGATGAAGGGATTACAGGAACAAAGGCCATAAACGTGTAGCAGGCCAGCCCTCTTGGAAGTTCAAAGAACCCCTGTGCAGCTGCTGTCTAAACTTCATTCAAACTCCATCTGCCCTTGTTTTGCCTGCATAGGCAATGGAGCTGTGACCATCCAGGAACTGCCTGCTCTTGCCCACTTACCTGCAAGGGCCAATTCAGAACATGTCTTCGAAACAGTGTTGTGAAAATAGTGATGGTTAAGGAAGTGTGCTTGCTGTATAAATGCGAGGGTGGCGAAAGCCTTTGTTTTGGAAGCACATAGGTCAGTCCAGGATCAGGCTCCTGCTAGCCAAGGATCACAGAATGGTTTTTGGTCGGAAGGGACCTTAAAGCACACCTAGTTCCATAGGCAGGGATACCGCCCACTCAACCAGGTTGCTCAAAGCCCTGTCCAACCTGGCCTTGAACGCTGCCAGGGATGGGGCAGCCGGAGTTTCTCCGGGTAACCTGTTCCAGGCTAATGTGGGTTCAGTCTGCCTTGCAGTCCTGACTCAAACACATTTCTCCCTCTTCCGTGTCCCAAGTACCAGCGGACAGTACTTACAATTTTGATGATTTTATTCTTCCTGCCTGCCAACCTTTCAGTGTGCTTTCACTGCTGCCAGTCAGCTGCATGCTACTGAATTAATTCCCCAGAGCGCGACAGCTATGGGGCTGGGGCTCCCGACGGAATGCTGTTATAGCCCCGCGCCGGCCCGCTCCGCCTGCCGCCTCGCCTCCCGGCCCGGCGAGTGAGGCTCCGGCAGCGCCCGGGCGGCGGCGTTTGAGCCTCGGCGGTGCCCGTACCCGGGCCGCTCGCTCAGCCTCAACATGGCGGCGGTGCTGCGCGGGGGGAGGGAAGTTTGCGGGACGCCTGTTGAGGTGAGTGCAGGCCGGACCGGGCCCCCTCCAGCAGCTGGGGGCTACGGCACGGTCCTCGGCACCGTCAGGCTGAGGCCGGGTCTGCCCTGCGTGAAGCAGGGCCCTGTCACCGCGGCGTGGCGAGGGGAGCCGGGCGGCCTGGCGGGGGAAAGCGGGCGGCTGTACGGAGCGGGGTCCATGGCGGTGCGCGGCGTTGGTCTGGCAGAGCCGCGGCTGGCAGCGCCCGCTCCGCTGGCCGAGCACCGACATGGAGCTTACCGGGCGGGTTAGACCAGCAGCTAGTGCTTGGGAAGTGGTCTCTCTATGTCTGACACCGGTAACCCGGAACGTGGGCCCGGCATCAGCATCTGGGAGCTACTGGCGTCGGTCACTGAGATGTAAGCCTGGGGCATTAATTAACTAAACAACAGTTTTTGTTAAAAAAAAAAAAAAAAATAACCCGCGTGTTAAACTGGAAGAAAAAAGATGGAGGAAAGTGAATCCAGTATTTTGGATAGATCTCACCTGGACTTGAAATCAGCTGCACTTAAACTACCAAACCAAACCGTCTTTGAGTTTTGGGTTTTTTTTTCTATGTTCTTAGATAAATTAGGGTAAAAACTACTTCGGGAATGGCAGTCCTTTATGTATAGGAATACCCTGGGGTAGTTCAGTCTCTACTTAGACTCTCGGTTTTGCTTAAAATTCTGTTTGCAATAGCTGACACATACTTAAAAATGGGCATACAGATTCCGTTTTGGATCTGAAAGTAGTTAGCTCAGGTGTGCAACTAGGATGCTGCAATCTAAAAACTGGAAGGCCATTAGTTTGAAAACCAAGTAAATACAACGCCCTCCCTCCCCCCGACTTTTAACAGTCTAAACTGTCGGTCTTAACGGATAGCTGTGTTTTAAAGAAGAAATCAGATATTGAAACTTCCCATTTACATTGTCTGAATTGCTGTGTTACGTTTATTTGGTAATAGCTGTGTGATGGGATACATAA